AGGGCTGTAGGCGTGGGGAGCCAGGCGGCAGGGGCCGGGGATCCAGGGGTGGAGGCGCCGAGGCTGATCCTCCTGCCCGGGGATGGGGTCCGCAGCGCAGCACCACCTCGGTCCTGTGGATGCCGGCGGGACCGTCTCTGATGGGTATCCAGTGTCGAACGCCAGGCACCTTAGCCACCGAGTCCTCAGCGCAGGCTGGAGTCCCACTGTCTGGCGGGGTCCTCGCGACTTGGAGAGGCGCCGGGAATCCTGGCACCAGCAGGCGCAGGGCTGCACTTCGCCCGGGAGAGCGAGCCGGGCGCCTGCCTTCTTCCTGCGGGACTCCGCTGCCCCGTCCCCAGCCCGGCTCTGCGCCCGATGAGGTGCAGGGCCCGTAGGGGCGGTGTGCGCGGCGGCTCCAGGGGCGCCCCTGGGCGGAGGCAGAGGGGCTGCAGGAGTTGCAGGAACCCCCTCTCGTGGCCGATCGGCCTCGCTGCCTCCTCCCGGGCTTGCTGTCTTCACCTCGGAAACAAACAATCGTGGCGACCGGAGGCCCGATCGGAGACCGCGGGGTGTTCCGGGGTGCCCTGGGCACACGCCCCCGGGGGATTGAAACTTTCCGGGACGAGTTTCGCCACCCCCACCCCCACCCGGGTTGCGTGTGTTATTCGGAGCTTCCTTCCCTAGGAATGGAGCCGTGGTTTGGAGCTTTTTCCAAGAAAAGACCAGGCTCTCCACCTTCAATCCCCTGGGTGCTTTTGGGTGGAAGGGTGTCCGCATCTGGGGCCAGTGTCGGGAGCACAGCTCGGGCCAGGGGAAGCCTCTGGAGCCCAAGCCCCAGCAGCAGCGGTGACGCGCGGGGCTGGAGGAGGCAGCCAGCAGGGAGGCGGTTTTGCTCCATAGGCTCTTCGAGAAGCACAACTGCGGGGTGCAGCCTCCGCCTTGGGCTTCCTGATCTCGCCCAGGAGCAGGGCTGGCTTCATGCAGTTGCACACATTGCCTCTGCTTTACCCGCTGCAGCTGAGAGGGGCCCTGTGGCCATCCTGCCCTGCCCTGCCCTGCTGTCTTACTGCCTTGGGCTCTAGACTTCTAGAGGAGTTAGCCGCCCAGGACAGGACACACGCCCTTCCTAGTCATTTAGGGGAGTCCACCTGGTTGGGCTGGAGATGGGGGGGGTGTGAACAAGGGGCTGTGGATGAGAAGGGGAGGGCCTGAGGATGGAAGCAGCCCCTCCCTGCCCTACTTACACACCTCCTCTGCCCTGGCTCCAGCAGGGCTGCTCCTGGCCCCATATAATCCACTCCTGGGAAATCCCTTTCTTGCTCCTTTCCCCTTCTCCCACATCCCCTGTGGCAAGCAGAGGGGAGACTTAGGTGTCCCCTCCTACCTAAAGCCAGAGCACTGGAGCCTGAAGGCCTCACCCTGGCCTGGCCCCCTGTGCCTCCTGGGCTGACCCTGTCAGCTGCCTGTGGACATTTCTCTGCTGTCTTCCTCTTGCCCTGAGCTCTAGGCCTGGCAGGTCCCCAGCTAACTGTCAGTAGGCCCTTTGCTCCCGCCTGAGCTAGGGATGATTCTTCCAATCCAGGATCCTTAAGTCCCCAGATAGGAAAGAATCAGGAATCACCTCTGGGTGGAGACTGTGGCTTCTCAGTATTTCTCAGCCAAAGACCTGTGTTTTACGCATCCACCCCACCCCACCCCACCACCACTACCACCACCACCACCACCACCACCATTAAATGTTGGTTAGGCTGCATTCTGTGAACTTAATTCTGTTCAATGTGTCTCCTCTGTCTTCTCAGGCCCAGGAGGATCTTACAGCCAGGGAGACCTGCAAGGCTGGATTCTCAGAAGAAGGTTACACGGCATTAATCTCCCCAGATATTCTGCAAGGAGAGAGGCTGCTCAAAGGTAGGGCAGGGCGCGGAGGGTGGAATCCGGTTGCCTTCGAGCTGTGCTCTGGGGAGGCCACTTAGGCAGAAGAGGCCAGGCCTGGCTGGTCTTGGTGCCTGGCTGCTGCAGGTGTGGTTGCCCCGTCCAGGAGGTGTGAATTGGTCAAAGGCATTTTGCATCAAGGTGAATGATTCAGAATCCCTGTCATTTTTGAGTGAGGTGAATCATTTCCTGGGCAACAAATTGGAATTTGGATGTAACGTCACCCAAATAATGTGCAGAGAGAGACTTTCTTACCAAGTATTTTTATGTATGAAATTCTGGATTCTTAAATTATCCCTGCTCTGAAATGCATGATAAAGCAGACGATGTTGTTGGAAATGCGGTAAATAAGCCCACAGACGTTCTGTTCACAAATGTGGCATTCGTTTTCATTACTGCCCCACTGACAACACGGAAACACACACGCAGGAGGGAACTACCAATTAGCTTTGTCGTAATTGCAGGATCATGTCCACATTTGTGACGGGCGCACGGGAGGCAGCTCAAGAACCCACGCGACAATGGATCATGCTGTACATCGATCTGTTTCTTTTTTAAGACAAACTAATTAAACTTTATATTTGCATAGGAGGGGAAATAAATCAGTTCTTGCTCTCCTGAGGTTTCAGTTAGGCTAGGAGCACCTCGGCCAGAGAGTGCCCCTCTTGGTCTCAGTGTCTCAGAAGTGGCAGCCTTTGAGCTGACCTCAGAGTTTTTTTTGGGGGGGGGGCAGACTTGATCAAGTGTCAAGCTGAATTTCAACATTCACACTAAAACACTCCTCAGCTGTTGACCGCTCCCCATTTTGTCGGAGAGAGGGTGGCAATGCCTGTGTCTGTGCACAGTGGTGTGTGTACTCACACACACAGTGGGGCGATATTTCTACCCACATCCTTCCAGACCCAGCCTGTTGATTTCCTTATTTGTGCCTGGTTATGTCAATCAGGCTTGTATTTGCACCAACTGTAACTAGGAACCTCTGTTATTTATTTATTTATTTATATGTGCTGCTGAGAATCAAACCCAGTGCCTCCCACATTTACACATGCCAGGCAGGCGCTCTACCACTGAGCCACGGCTCCGGCCCCCCCAAGCATAACTTTTCCTACTTATTTTTTGATTTTCCGTTTGTGATACCATTAACTCTCATTGACTATGAAACACAGTCTAGGCAGCCTGCCCCCAGGAGCAGAAGGGACTTGCTGTCTCAGAAGTGTGCAGGGAAGGTGTTTTCAAGAGATGCTCCCTCAGTGGTGCCTGTGTCTCGTTTTGGAGTCTGCCGGCACGGGCATCTCTCGGGGTCCTTGGGTTGACTGAGATCCCTGTGGGCTGGCAGAAGGGGCCAGGGGTGCCCTGGCACGTTGTGTGCCTGCCACACAGGACAGGTGGCGTTCTCTGTCCTACTGTGGGTGCCTCCTAGACACCTCTGCTGAGTCGAGACTGTCACCTTGGGCCTCTGGCAGCACAGGGATAAGCATGACAAGACCTTTGAGTATCCGTCGTCCTCGGGCTGGTATGGTAGGCCTGCTGTGACACAAGAGTGTGGCAGGTCCTCGTGCTTGCCAGGAGGCGGTCCCCATGGGCGGGTGGGCATCCTGGCCCCACTCTGCTTTGCTCTCGGTGGGTGGGGTGGGGAAGCTGGATGCCTGGACAGATGTTGCCTGGCACCTGGGTGCCCACGGTGTTCACCTAGTTCTGGGTGAAGGCAGACCGGCTTGTGGTCCTCGTGGTTGGGCAGCTCATTTTCTAAGCCCTTCTTAGCCCTGAGAAGCGGCCTGGCCCAGGCCGGGTTCGGGGAACAGGGCTGAGGGTCACCAGCCGGGGCCTTCTCCACCCAGCTCAGCTCCTCCTGCGCCCGGGCACCATCCTTTCCTGTTTCTTCCCTTTGCTTTTCTTAAGGTGTCACATCTCAGGATCAGAGAGTTGTTTTTAAGGAAGACTTAGAAGTAATTTCACACATATGGAGACAGAAGCTAAAACTGCAATACACGCAAGCCAGGACACGTAAACCTTCCTGTGTGTGTGCAAAACTTTGCAACTGCAAGAACACAGCAGAGATGGATGTGTCAAAAATAAATGAGAGGCAGTGTTCCTGTCGTTCTGGTAGGAGTCGCAGTAAATAGATAACGGCTGCTTATAAGTGAGCTATTCCAACAGAGAGAACTTAACCTTAATTTGACAAGCAAAGCTTCGTAGAGCCCGCTTTATGGTAAGTTCGCCATAAGCTGCTAACGACCACTCCGTGGCTCCCTCTCTCTGCCTGAGTCAGCTCCCCAGCAGCCCCAAACACACACTTTCCGGCAAGAGCGATTTGTTACACAGTAATTAACTTGTTTATGATAAATGGATGGAAGAAATGTCGTGGCATTTTGTTTTATGTCTAAATGAAAAGCATTTGCATTCTAAAAATTTCATGCTAATTAGGCTTAAAATAGTTTCCCCCAATAGGGTAACAAATACTATGTATTGAGAACCTTTGGAGAAGCAGATCTGCTCAGGGTGGAAAGCCGGGTGCCACTCGGCTGGTCTGCAGCGTCCTCGGTCCCCACAGCCGTGTTCCCCGCCTGCTTTTACTGGAGCGCACTGGCATGTGGTAGCGCCTACCCTGCCCGTGGTCATGTTTTGGGTAGTTCACTTTGGCCGTGGTCACTGTGGTCACTGGCTGGAATGGGTGGTAACACCTGAGCTGGGCGGGTAAGCTGTCCTCCTGGGCGATGCCGCACTTCAGGCCGAGCACCTGCTCAGCTGGTGTCTTTTTCTCTGTGTTAATAATTAATGGTCAGCCTGGCCAGAGCTGCGGCCCTCCCGGGTGCCCTGCAGAGCTCTGGACAGCACAGCAGCTTCACAGCGGGGCCTGTGGGGGCAGCAGAGACCTCGAGGGTCACTCCCCCTTGATGCTGGAGGGACAGTGACAGGTGAGAGGGGCACGCTACTGAGGGGCAGAGGGCTGTGCCTTACCTGAGGGCGGTGGGTACACTGTGGGTTCAGGTGGAGAGGAGGAAGAGTCCTGCTTTAATGACGTATTTAGTCCCCATCTGCTTAGGACCCTCCTGGGTCCCTTACACCACGCTCTGCTTCCTCCTCCGAGAATGTACATGATCCACACAGTCGCCTCTCTTAAACTGTAGGGGTCACAAAGGCAGGAGCCCCATCATTTCTTGTTTACCATTTATAACATTTCAGGATATTTTTATCCAATAGGATAAAACCCAATTAGCAGAATCTTAATAAATAGGGATTAACTTTTCTCACTTTACAGTAAGTGCAGAGACATGGTCAAGGGTGGGAACAGTAGATCAGTAATGTCATTACAACCCTAATATTCTCCATTCTTACCATTCTACCACATTTGGCTTCTCATTTTATTGCCTCGTCATTACAAACTAGCTGCCGTGGCTCCCCATTTGTATCTGAGTGCAGAGCAGATGAAGAAGGGAGTGGTAGCGCTGTATTTCTTACCTGTATGAAGAAAGCAAAAGCTTTCAGCCTCCCTGCAGAGGTTCTCATTGACTGGGACTAGGTCACAAGTCACAAGCTGAATGAGGCAGGGAGCCTGGGAGGACAGAGAATCACGGTCATGTTTCACTTAGATCCATGACAATTCATCACCTTATTAATGAGCAAAGTGCTTGACACGATTGCATTTTGCTTTAGGAAGGCAGAAGGGACGAGAGGGTGCCAGGTGACAGGCTCCCTGGCTTCAGCAGCAGGCCTGACCTCAGACCGCAGCGGCTAAAGGAGTGACTCTCGTGCATGTGCTGGGGAGAGGTCGAGGCAGGGCCTGGGCCCGCGTCTGAGGTCTGTCCCAGCGAGGACAGAGGGGCCGGAGCCAAGCAGATCATCCACATCATAGTCTTCGCCTCTTTGCCACGGTGCTGCCCGCCCCTGCCGACCAGCTTGACCCGCCTCGCTGACAGTGGAAGGCCAGGCGCGTGGAGGGACAGGAGCTCAGCACAGGTGCAGTCCTGTCAGAGGAAGTGACCCGTCGTCCTGTTTCTGTGTCCGGCACTCACGGCAGGGGGGACTGCTGGGAGGGTCTAGATTAGGGGCTCACCACGCTCCACTGCCTGGCCTCCTAGACCCTACGAGCTGCCCTCCAGGTCCACTCTCTGCCTCTCCTGTGCCCACACAGGCTGAGCCTCTAGTCGCCTTAGGAGGGGCCGTGTGCCTCCTCTGGTCAGTGGTATCTGGTCTCGTTGGCCCACGGGGTCAGGCTCTGGGAAAGCTGGGCTCTTCCTCCTGATAGAAAGGAGGAGGCTCAGTGGGCCCTGCCCCCCTCCTCACTTTGTCCTCCTCCTGGACTAGGCTGGATGTCGGGGGCAGCGGGCATTTGTGGCTGAGAAGGGTGGGGAAGACCCAGTCCCAGGTGGTGTCCCTGAACACTCACAGCCCTGCACACAGTGTCTCCTGAGAGTGGGTTGAGCTCGTCCCCTGCAGCCACACGCCTCCCCAGCTCAGGGGGAGGGTAGCACACACCAGCCAGGCTGCCCAGTCTCCCTCCGGGCCCCTGCATCCTGTGGCCGTGGGTCTCCACCTCGCCCAGTGGATCTGAGAACCCATCGTGGACATTCTAGGTATTTGTCAAGTGAGTGAAATGAATATTCACCACTGAGATGCTGCTGTGGCCAGAGTTCCGTGAGCGCTCACTGTCTCGGGCCAGGGCCGTCTTCCTGAGCCACCCGGAGTGTGGACCCTGTGCCTGTCCTCACCACCCTGGGGCTTTGCCTGTCCACGCTGTCCACTGTTCCAGCAGGAGAGCTAAGGCCAGGCAGGTCTTAGCCGCTGGTGGTTGGACTAGCTCTGAGGAGGTCTGCTCCAGCAGCCACTGGAGGGGTCTTCCTGAGCCTGCAGACCCCATTGCCCCTGCCCTGGGGTCTCCCAAGCAGCATCCAGAGCAGATGGTGGAACTCTGCCTCTTTGGCCACCTTGAGGGACAGTCCTGGCCAGCCGGGGGCCACTGTGGTGGGCTTTCAGCA